TCTTAGTTAGGTTTAGTTGTTCAGGAGACAAATAGAGTAGATAGAGCTGGGGACAAAGCAGAAATTGTGGCTCACAGAGTGCCTTCTACCATGTAGTTATGGATCAATTCTTTCTACCAATACCAGTATTTTCAAGTTTCTTGTAAACCACAAACTGAGATGCAGTATCACTTTGAAAATACAGAAGAATAATGTTTCCTGAACCCTCTAGGCTGGAACTCTGCAGGTATTTCACACCCACACAGCACAAGTAATTACCAGTCAAATGTGGTTACAGCTTCAATTATTGCTCTATAACGATGTTTGTACCTATGTTTGTGTCTAAATCATGAGGCAAATATGCTCTGGAGAGGAAATCACAGTCATTGGTACACCAGTTGCCTGAAGCAAACAGTTACACATCTACCCTTGCTAGGAAGCCACTTTCTTTCCAGAGGAAATAAGAGTGGACACAGAAGATGAGAGGGTGGAGAAAGGATGCTGTTTACGTGGGTGACATCCCAACACAGCACCAAGATGTATCTGGACACCAACAGAGCTGACAGCTAAGAAGTACTCTGAATGTGCACTGCTGAGATCTACCTTATAAATAGACTGATACCTCTCTATTGTGAGCTTTCTCCCCAGCATGGCTAAGGAAACAGGATGTTAGTCAAGAAGTGAAGCTGCAACCCAGCAGCAAGTGATCAAAAAGTCTTCAAGAACTGATGCCATATAAAGCATTGTAGAGAGCACAGGGAACTAGTGTAACATGATGGTGTTCTAAGTGCCAGTGATGCCTAGAGAGGCTACCTGGAACAGAGGCTAGACAGTATTAAAAGAATTAAGTAGGTATTTATTAAAAGGCCTTTGAAGGATACACCTTGGGCAGTACAGGAGCCTGGCCATGGCTCTACCCAAGCTGGATGCAAGATGGATGACCAGTCGTGAGTTTTCTCACTTTTACAAGTTTTGGTCCATTTACATATTGGGGTCAATTGTGCAATTACAGCTTCAGGTTATGAAGTCACATCCTCCCAGATTGCTCTCCTCAATTTGTTTTTGTTTTCACTTTTGGGCCCAAAGCTGCAACAGTGCCCTTGGTTCTCAGGCTGGAAAAGGATTGTTTTGTCTAACTAAACTGTGAAGAGATCTTGCTAACACTTTATATAATAAAGTTCAGAGTGACACACTAAGGCAGTACAGATTCAAAAAAATATGAAAGCTAAAATTTAAGGCATCACCAAGGGTTATCATTTTTCAGATGAAATGTAAAATGCAGGTTCTGCTTGCTGTGACCATTGTTAGCTTTTCAAACATCAGAAGCTTTATTTTCAGTGCAGCAAAAGAGAGCAAAAGATCCTTATATCATCCATTTTTACTGTTTGGTGGAATTGTTTCATACTACCTTGTAGCTGCATTCTATGATTAAAAATATATAAGGGTGCACCCCTTCATGGAAGTGCACCATCACTGTGTTGCAAACAGCTACTCTGATTTCATTGCAGAGTAGAGCTTTCTTATTAGGATTGACTGCCTTATCAGCATGGCTGTCCTTCTTCCTGCACACACTGTGAAAATGAACACACACTGCTGGCTTTATCCAAGCTTGTACAGATCTCTCCCAGCACAACCCTTCACGGTGTGGCACGGACAACCCATTCCACCCCTCAAGGAAAAAGTCACATACACTGCAAGCCCAACTGTACCATGTAGATTCCTAAGCTCACAAAACAATCTTGGCAGAAGCCAGTTCAAATATAAATATTGTGTGTATGGTCATATTTAGGAGTCACTCTATGCTAACTCCATACCCAAAGCTCTCCCTGAAGCAGAGAAGAAATCTTTTACAAATACTTCAGTGAACAAAGCCCTTTGCTGCTGTCAAAGGAAGTAATTAATTTAAGCTGCTATGTGATTTTTCTTTATGGTAAGACAAGCAATCACAGGATTTGCTATGACTGGAAGAGCAATAAAAATAATAATTAGAAAAGGAGTAATTTTTATGGATTTATCTTTTTGAAAAATAAAAAAGGGTCAGGGAAGTTCATCTAATTCCTTGCCAATTCATAAAATCAGTGTCTTTGATTTCTCTAATATACCAATTAAATTAAAAGTCAATAAAACTCTACTGAAAGAGGACAATTCCTCTGTTGCCACAGAAAATATGTTCTTTGATACATCACCATTCATCATGACTGAAGAGTTTTTATGCACTTGGGTCTCCTGTTTGTAAAAGGAGTTTTAAAATCACATAATAGTTTCTAATGAACACTTACCTATTTGAAATCACTACTAAGATTTTCTTAAGCAAAAGGGCGTCTGCATTATTTTACTAATAGCTTATTTTAAAATGGTCAAGACCTTTCTGTAGAAGTTACAGAAAATAAGTAGAGGAAAAGAGACACTGTGATAAACCTTACTAGAGCTAACTAATTTCAGTATATGAAAACCTGAGAAATAATTTCAAATTCTTCTTAGCATCACACACAAATAGGATTCTCTCAAAGAGAAATGTTTTAAAGTAAGTTTTCATTTGCAAGTCATTGCAAGAACAAAAAAAAAATTACAAATCAGTGACACAGCAGTAATTTTTTTATTGTCTTACAGAAACAACTTGGAAAATTTTTACCTTTCTCCATTCAGTTTTTTATTGTTGTATTTACTGTGAGACAAGCACTTTATTAGCTTTTACCCATGAACTGGAAAAGTGCATTTTAGTGCAGTTTATGTATCCTTTAGGCCAATGCCATCAAAGCCATTTTGTATTCTCTAGCTAACTAAATCTGCTTGACTCATATTATCTTGTTTCATGTTTCTTCTAATTAGATTGGCTTTTTCACTCTTCAGCACTAGAGGAATGCCTGCTGCACATCATCTTCTCAAGAACCAGCCCAGCCAGAGACAACTGCTGCTGTTTCTCCAACTGACTAAGGCTAGCTGGATAGAAATAAATTTTCTTCTTGTCCACTACTGTTCTACATAAGGAAATATCTGGTATAATAGCTAAATGCTTTTATTGAAGAGGATTACTAGTGATTATTATTTTAATTTTAGTAACTCATGCATTACCAAGAAAAACTCCACAAAACACCACGCGACTGATTTTGGCAACTTCATGCATCTGATTGTGACATAAAGGACCAAAGAAAGCCAGAAAGCAGTAGGAAATTAACAACTATTCATGGAGGAAGTCAAGATAAGGGAGAATGTTTAACTTTTTTTGTCCTCAGAGTCAGGAACTATTATTTCTCTAAAGGAAATCAAATTTGGATCCTATTAATCCTTTACAGTGCTTTCACCCAGAGCTGCAGTTAATAGCTGTATTATGGAGAATTCATTCATAAATTCAAGCTACATCTTCCTTGCATTCTTCCTGTGACATTCTGCATCTCCTATGTGTACCTCAAACCTTACTGTAGCTCTTAACTTTTAAATGGAACAAGATGCAGAAACTGTGGAGGGTATTTAAATTAGAACAAATCATTATGATCATAGTATCAACCACAACATATGTAATTACATTATCTTCTTTAAAAGCACTGTAATAAGGAAAAGAAAGAGACAATCTATTGGGTACAAATGAAATGTTGCATGGATTAAATACCCAAAATAGAATGTAACCTTGCCTTTGACAGGTGCATTACATGTACTGCCAGTATATTTATGGCTTCCTCTCTAGTCTTCATTCCAGCAACCTTTGTCACCTTGACACACCTGTACATTTTGAACTGAACTGCAAGATAAGGAGATGAGTTTCTTCTCAGATTGTAAAGAGATAACTTGTGCATCAAGCGCAAGAGCTGTTAAGGCACCTACAGCATTCCTGGAAAGGATGGGGTATTATAGTAAAATAAAAGTCAAGAACTACAATAGGCATTTGGTGTGTATGCATATATGAAACTATTTGCTGGCACCTACCAATCCACAGAGTAACAGCCTGAAGAAGGAAATCCAAGTCAGTGCCCTGCTCTGCAAATCTTGGAAATCACTGGGACTCCTAGAATTGGAACAGATGTATTTTATATGTAATGGACAAAGATAATAGCAAAGATATACAGACAAACAGACTCATACAGAAATCAAAAAGCTTTCTTATGTGCTGAATATCCCACTAGCAGTAAAGGCAATTTGGTTTGTGACTCAAGCACTATGCTCAAAATCAGGCTTTGTTCCAAGTCTGCTCTGTGATATAAAAGTAGGTTATTCCAACGATTAGTTTGTCTCAGTTTTCCCTCTTTAGGGAATTAATAAAAAATCAACTCTCCTTTGCAAATACTTGAATTTAAAGGTGAAAAGTACCATTCAGGCATGTTATTAAAATAATCTGATTAAACAGGAATGGTCACATTATTTTAGGAAGTCTATTAACATTCATAGTTACTATAACCCATTATTGTCATACACAATGTATTTACAAACAGCTTATATCCAAGAAATCAACAAAGAAAGAATTAAAGGAAAGACATGGTGAACTCTTCTTCACAGGAACTTAGAGGGCACAAATTGACTAATAAATGTTTGTCTATACAGCAAGTATCATTGGCTACTATATTTACATTTTAACACTTACAACATATTTTAAAGTATTATTTACAACTCCTGTGCAGTTTGCCTTAGAGCTTTTATTAAACAGACACTTAGAGAAGCTATTTTTTTCCTAAGGTAATTAGAGATGACATTCAAATAAAGTGCCAAAATAAATACTTTGCCTAGCAGAAAAAATATTTTAATAAAAAATTAAAAATAAAATAGTTGTACCTTCCTACAGCCAGGAAATACATCAAAAATAGTATCTCCTTTGAAGCTGTAAAACTTGCTTAAAAATCAATGAAAAAAGTAACTTACTGGAGAATAACAACAATTCCTTCAAAGAAAAGTGGTGACTGCAATGGAATGTATTTTTTAAATTAATTTCCTAGTGTTCATCTTACAACAGATTAGTAATAAGTAGATGAATTGTTTTTTTCAGAAGAACTCATATATATAAGCATGATTTTAGAAAGTTCACACGCAACAGATTGTGGTAAGAATTTGTAAATTTTATTATCATTTCATTCCACCCAACTGCACACAAAAAAATCATTCAAATTATGAAGAAAACATACTGGAATGTTAATTTTTAGCACTTTTCTCCCCTACATTCTCCTTTGTAAGACTAAAGAAGTGATTTTTAAAGGGGTTATATGGGAAACTTAAGTATAAAACTTTATTATTTTAATAGAATATACAATACTTGAACATATTTAAAGTACTCAATGTTTCTAAAATATTATGGAGTTGATAAACAGTCATAAATTTAACACAGGTTCCCTCTAATTAAAAAAAGTGGTTCTCAAAATAAATCAACAATTCCCTAGTGCACTTATAAAGAGAAAAGATCAAAAGCAGGAACTGATATGTTTCCTTCCAGTGTTAATTAGTAATTAAAAATCTTATCTTCATTAGCACCTACTCTGAAATTGTTTGATTTTTTTTTTTCTTTTTTTGTTTTTGGTGGGGAATGAAGATGTTATGCAGACAAATCCTGCAACAAAAGTCATAAAAATAAACCAGTTATGAAACTGCTTGCCTTCATCACAGTTAAAAAAGGACATGAAACTGTATTATTTTCTTTTAAATACACATCTTCCTTATAGACTTCAGCTTTCAGTTGGTTTGGGAGTTGCATGTAGCTGCATGTATTGCATAATTCTACTGGCCAAGTAACACCCTTCCTCTGTAACAGTTCAGATAGGTCTGATAATTTTAAGTAGAAATAAAAATATTAGCATAATTTTTTTGGCATCATACAGAAGCTGACAGCTCCTACTATTTAGTTCAACTGCAAGTCCTAAAGAACTTCCTGTACTTGGGGCAAGAGGGACAGGATGGGCCTTGCCACCATTTCAAAACCAAGTAGATTAAATGAATGTCCCTGTATGGATTTCAAGTGTCTTCCATTTGCAATTATCTTGATGTCTCCAATCCTGATTCCATTCTCACAGCTCAATATTTCCTGCATACAAGGTAATCAGCAGGATAGCAGTAAAGCCCGTTAGCAAACCAGCATTCTGAATAAGGAAGAACGTCAGATCCATCTTTCTTCCGGTCACCTTCTCCCGCAGCATATCATTCATCTCTGGGAACTGAAAAAAGGGATATTTTTAGGTAAGCATTGCCATCTCGTGGTAGCATACTTAATTTAAGGCCTTAAGAACTGAACCATATTGCTACTCTGGACTGAATATTAGAACTAACAGAGGGTGAAGGCAGTCACAGGAAAATATCACCCTAATTACCCTGAAAAACCACTCCACCAAGGAGTGGTAAGATGAAACAGCATTTTGTTCCTCTCTACGGTGGCTTCATCTGGCTGTGTCTTATGTAAATTTTCCCTTTTTGATTCTAGCAGCCTCCTAGGTTCCAAATGTTGGTCCATGTGTTGCTAGGAACAGCTGCCCTTGTACTGCTAAATGTTTTGTTTCTTCCTTCACTGCTATAGAGAGAAATCCTTGTTTGGGAAACAGAAGATTAGGATTCTTCTGCTTCATCTAAAGGAAAATGAAGTGAAGATGTAAACATGGACAACCCCTCAGAAATCAGAAACCTTTCACATGTGGAAGGTCTGGCAGGCTCATTAGGTCAAGCAAGGAAGAAGAGGAAGACGGGTGTGAAACTGGTGGTAACAGATGCAATATGACACTACAGTGCCATGAAGGGATTCTTCATTCCATAATATACATCTTAAAGGTTAATACAAGAGCACAGAGTGACTGATTCACGGCTAACTGCAAGAACAAAGATACTGCCTCAGGAGCCAGTGGAGGTGATGGCAAAACAGCACAGGTATGAAGTTCCCTGCATGGGATATTCAGGGTATGTGTTTGCTGCAGGTTAAATCAACTACAGTGGTTTTTGAGAAATAAGCTTTAAAGTATTCTCCTGTTCTGCTGAGAATAGTATAACCAGAATACAATGAAGATAGTTTATTTCAGCTCTAGTTAGGAAGCCTTCAGGCTGAGTAACTCAGAAACTGTATCTGATCTCACAACACAAAAACAGCAATTGAAGGTAATGCAATTCCTGAAGAACAGGCTAAGGTTAGCAGGAACAGCCCAAAGCTTCCCAGAAATGGCTACAGAGCTCCGTCACACTCTTGCACAACAGGGCAAAACTAGATTGACTTCATGCCATACAGCATGGCTCATTTGTGCACACACCTCAGCATACATTCCCACCTGCCCACAGCCACCCCACTCAGTGATCCTATTGGCAGAGATTGTACTATGCCAATATTGGCAGAAAAAAGAACAGAAAAAAGAAAAGGAGGAAGGCATGGCATTCCAGTTAATCCTACCTGCTTCTGGACAAGCAAACCAGAAGTGTGGAAAAACCATAAGAAAGTAGAAAGCCAGATCTCTGTACAGAGCACTTCAATACCCTATTTCAGACTTTTCAGGGGGAAGAAAAATTCAGATAGGTAATTGATACAATCCAAAAACCTATAAAGAGAGGAGGGTATAGGGAGAGAGAGAGACAGAGAGGAACAGAGAGAACAGAACAACAGATACAAGGAAAAGAATGTTACCTACTTTGATGGATTTAATAACAAACTTGAATCACTACAAATTTATGCCATGAATTTTACAAATCAGAGTTCAGTGCATTACTATTCATTATATGAGTAATGCTAAACAAAAAGCATTAGCAATTAAGGCACTGCAAGCTTATAAAATAAACTACTTATATTTTTTTTATAACTCTAACAACATATTAAATCCTATATTATTACCTAAATTATAACCATATTTAATGAAACAGTCACTATAAATGTAAGACAGTTCCTAAAAGCCCATGGAACCAAATTGGGGTCTCAAATTTTTTTCAGATTCAGGCCTCACTCTTCCAGTTCTGCACTCAAATGGATTCTCATGTGGCAGATGTAAACACCTTTGCACCTATTGCATCTGTTCTTACAACACTGAATTAAACATAATGAAACTTAAAACTATTGAAAGATCTCTTTTGTTTTGAGACAAAACATCATTGTAATAGGAAATTATGGAATATTGCTAAATGCCTATGAGTCCAGATTTTTTTTTCCAGTGTCTAAATGCAACCTGGATTTTAGCACAATTTCTTTTCCTTATATCCTCTAACACACTGAAAAATAAATGGTAGACAGATTATTGTGAATAGAACTCAGTAAAAATTTTCATCAGAACCAAGAAAATGAGGCTGGCACTCTTTGACTTGAACCAGGATAGAATTTAAATCAAGTTTTTCATTATCTCTGTGGTTACACAACACCTTTTATTCAATACAAAACTTAATATTTAACTTCATTCTGTTTACCTTTCTTTTTTTGCTTTTCTTTCACATGGTTTAAATAGACAAACAAGCCTTTTAAAATAATAAGATGAAATATTGTGACACTTTAAAATGCTGAAACAAATTGTTAATATACTTTTTACTCTTTGATTAAACCAGGCCAAATTCATGAAAGGCTTGTCTCTGTCTAAAACCCCCTTTCAATAATAATAGAGGCGAAAGGCTTTAGTGTTTCATGAATAAACATAACTTGCTATGAATAGGTGAGACTTTATAAAGTCTTACCTATTGCTAACAATAACTATTTGTGCACCTCCACTAAGGGTTTAAGTTACAAAATTCTATTATTATTAATGTTATTGTTATTGGTCACTGGCATGAGAAGGAGAAAATACTAGGTTCTACTGGAGAGACTTAGTGGAGTATATGTTGGGTTTTTTTTGCAGAGAAATAAATATCTGAAAATGAAATTATATCTCACCATATCTGCCAGAGAGATGTACAGGAACATTCCACCGGCTATAGCAAAGATGATGTTAGGAGCAAAGTTGTTGCCTACTAATATTCCAAAGGCCAACCCAACGTAACAAGAACATGCAGATAGGAAATTGAAAAACAGAGCCTGACGAGTACTCATTCCTGCATTAAGCAAGATGACAAAATCCCCTAAAAGAATCAAACAAAGAGAAAATCATCTTCAGAAAATGATATTTTGGTTATTTTCTGATATCAAAGGAAGTCGAAGAAAAGACATTATTTCTATGCACATTATAACCCTGTGCTGTTTTTCTTTATTCAAAATTAAGGAAACTGAAATATTCTAAACAAATAGTGATGCAAGATTGAGCTAAGAGCACAGGGACACATATTTATGATGATTTTTGGGTTTAAAATTAATTAATACAACACTGTACGCACCATATAGAAACAGGATAATTAGTACCTGTCCAATATATGCTCCTAGCTTCCGCCCACCTGCACTTGGGAACTTCCTGTGCCAGATGTGTGTTTTGGTGCTTGGTAACTTTTTGATGAATATTTTTTCTATTAATTTGTCTAAACTTTCTTTCAACCTCTGCCAACTTTACGCCAACACAAAAACCTACAACAGTGATTTTCACAGCAAACAACATGTGTAATAAAAGTTCCTTACCCAGTTCATGAGGAAACTCTTCACACAAGATGGCTATGGAGGTACTGAGCCCTTGAAGCAGAGACAAAGTGAAAGAAGCCCCAATAGCCAAGCCATCTATGAAATTATGTACTGCATCACTCAGTGTCACCATCCAAGCAATGGTCCCAATCTTTGCCAGTGGACGCCCCTTAAGACACTTGCATAAGCTGCTTTGGGTGGCTTCTTCCTGAAAAAAAAAAAAAGATAGAATGAAACATTTACACAAAGCACTGAAAAACGAAGTCAATGAATCATGCTTCTGTCTTTAAATAAATGGCAAGTATAAACTCAAGCACTGCTGCATATAGAGACCAAATTGCTTTGTCCAAAAAGAAAACGGCACAGCAAAAGCACCAAATGTTTTCTGTTTCAACAAGGTGACATGCACGACCCAGTCACTCTTCTGACTGACAAGTGTCACCTGGATGCCCTTCAGCGGAGACAGGAAGCAATTCAGGACACAGTGGTCTGACTGTCTCTCTGGAGTCGCTGTCAGATGAAGACAGTCCCAAGCCTCCTTTGCCACCTCTATATAAGCATGTACAGTCAGAAGGATCTGATCTCAGTGACTGGTAGCATCTGTATTTAAAACTGGCACTGCGTCACTGTCTTAGTACTGCTATTGCAGTAACAGAATTCTATCTACATTATATATATGATGTGTCTACACTGTAGAATGTGTCTCTAGTAATAGACATGTTCAGATATTCCATAAGGTTTATTTCTAATTTTGGGCAATGATAGTCAAGTCCAGCTGTTCAAATTAGTTTCTACAAAGTGAATGTTTAATAAAAACAGTGGTGGCTAATTTTGACTGCACAATTAAAGGCTCAGAGCATGAAATCAACAGGCTAATATAAAACTGCAGTGCATATACCCTCCAGGGATCTCACTAATTCTCCCCAGAAGTGGAAGTAATTTATACATGTGGTGCCATGAAATAATGAAAAACCTGAACACACACAGAAGGAACTGCCATTTTAACTGCAAGTACAAACTAAGCTCCCCTAAAAGTTCCTGGTGACCCATTTGATGAATTTCTATACACACATACTGCGTTTACAGAATATTTGCAAGCATTATAGATTTCCCCCATTAAGAAAAACCAAATTACTTATATAGCATTAACTGGTGCTTACTTACTGGAATATAAAAGCAGTAATATATGTGTGCCTACAGACATACACAGCACAGAATCACTGATTAGTTAAGGCTGCAAGAGACCAGAGGGGTTCATCTGGTCCAACACCCCTCTTCAAGACCATGGCACAGGATTGCATCCAGATGATTCTTGAGTATCTCCACTGAGGGAGACTCCACAATCTCTCTGGGCAATCTGTTCCAGTGCTCAGTCACCTGCACAGTAAAAAAGTTCTTTCTCATGCTCAGGTGGAACTTTCTGTGCCTTAGTCTCTGCCTATTGCCTCTTGTCCTGTTGCTGAGCATCACTGAGCAGAGCCTGGCTCCATCCCCTTGACACCCTCCCTTCAGATGCTTATAAACACTGAGTTTCCTTCTGTGTTGTCTCTTCTCGAGACTGAACAGACCCAGCTCCCTCAGCCTTTCCTTCTGAGAGATGCTCAGGTCCCCTCATCGCCCTTGTGGCCTCTGCTGGACCCACCCCAGGAGCTCCATGTCCCTCTTGTGCTGAGCAGCCCAGAACTGGACACAGCACTCCAGATGTGCCTCCCCAGGGCTGAGCAGAGGGGCAGGATCACATCCCTCAACCTGCTGGCAATGCTCTTCCCAGTGCACCCCAGGATGCCAATGGCCTTCTTGGCCACAAGGACACTGCTGGCTCATGGACAGTTTGATCTCCACCAGGGGAACAAACTCAGGTCTTTCCCTAAAGAGCTGCTTTCCAACAGATCAGCCCCCAGCCCCTGCTGGTGCCTGGGGTTATTACTTCCCAGGTGCAGGACCCTGCATTTCCCTTTCCTGAATTTCAGGAGGTTCTGCTCTGCCCATGTCTCCCACCTGTCAAGGCCCTTCTGAAGGGCTGCACAGAACTGTGGGGTACTAGCCACTCCTCACAGATTTGTGTTGTCAGTGAACTGTTCAGGAGGCAGGTTTACCAAGTCCTTGATGAATAGGTTAAACAATAAAGGGCCCAGTACTGGACCCTGGGGGACACCACCAGTGACAGGCCTCCAATTACACCCTGACTCACTGAGATCTGCCAATCAGCCTACTGCAATTTTTATTGCAATAAACCTCACTGTCCATTCATCCGTTTCACATTTCCTGAGTTTGCCTGTGAGGATGTTGTGAGAGACACTGGTTAAAGCATTGTTTAAGTTAAGGCAGGCAATATCCACTACTCTCCCCTCAACCACACCCATCTCCACTTCTTGAAGAACATCTTGAGGAACATCTCCTTCTCCTTAGGAGAAGGTCAAAGAATATTCCAATAAATCTTTAGTTATTAAAAACATTGAAAATTGGTTTAGTTTTGCCATATGCAAATGCTACCAGGCAAGCTGATTTTTTTAAATTCAAGGAAATAAAATGATCAATAAATCCTTGCAAAATTGTTAAGGACAGAGCTATAAGGTCTGTTGCATGATTTGCTCACAGGAGTCTTATCTAACTACATTCTTATATTTAGGAGCTGCCCTGGGACAGGACAAAAGTTCAGGTCAAGAATTTCTGAGTCAGGTGTCTATTGCACTGCCTGGAACTCATAGATAATAAAGCCTTGGCTGAGTAGTGCCAAAACCACCACAAAGCAGCCCCTATTCAGTCCACAGGAAGTTCTGAAATTACACTTTTAGGATGTAAAAATGAGCAATGGTATCAAAAAGTCAGGAGGTTCCCTGCTGATTCAAAAACGTAGGTTTAGATTTGTACTACACACTTGCCTTTAGTTTTTGAAGGTTTTCCTCTCAACATTTCCTCCAACACAAGCAGTGCCAATCTTTTTTTGAGATTATTAATTTGTACCTGTACTATTTCTGCTTGAGATAGGATCACTTACAAGTAATAGTAATTATTAATCTCTCTTAATCCATGAAGATAAACAGAAAGTCACTTTAAGAAAGAAGTATTACAAAGGAAGCCACACAAAATACATAAGTATAAGAAAACCCAAATACAATTAGCAAAGCTCTTCCACCAATTCATCCAGCTTCCTGAGGTAAAGATCTGTTCTCTATTTTTTTCTGTTCCCTGGTGATCATCCTTCAAGTGACTACAAACTGGAGGAAGCATTGTTTTGTAGATCACCCTGATTTCTGCCTAAAGCACATCATCTTTCTTGCACATGTTTCTAGGTTCACTGAAGAAACAGAGTTTGATCTAATGCACAAATTTTCATTTTAAATAATTCACCCATTTTTTCCACAAAAAAAGAACATTTTAAGCAATTAAAATTAATTTAGGGTACCAGTATTGATGTACTTCTAGAAATTACTTTATTGATCCAAACTTCCAAAATGCAGAAACAACTGCAGTTTATAAACTAGGAATCAGTTTCTGAGACACCTTTGTTTTATATCTATATCTAGAAATATATAGCTATCCGACATTTACATTTACTGTGTTGCTTTGAAGTATCATAATTCTTACATGTAATCCATTTTAAATAATGTCTTGGCAACATCTCTAAATTATATAAAGTACAATGAAATTTCTTTTCTGGATTTACATTCTGAACTTTACTACATCATGTATCCAGTAGAAGTAGATAAATGAGTAATACATATTCTTCATGTTTAAGATAAAGCAGATTACTGACAAAATACCATACAAACACGTAAGATTCCAAAGCAAAGAATTAGCAATGTCTGTCTCCTCTGCACTATTTCCATTTTGTCATGGTAGGTAGTTTAGCATACATCAAAAGAGATGTCATCCAAGGAGCTCTGTAATACCCAGCTGGGCTATCAGGTTTAATTTTTATTAAGTATTAGTGCAGCTCTACATCATTTGTATCTCCACAGTTTATGGTAAACCAAAGACATCCTTGGTATTTATGCACTTCTAAACACAGGGGGCTTTTTAAAAAGTAAGGGCCCCTCCTTCATTTCCAAACTTAAGAAATTATACAGAGACTCTCTTATTTTATCCTACGATATCTCAGATTACTATTGCCATTTCCAACACATGTCTGATTCCCTCAGACATGAACCAGACATGTCCTCTGGAAGAGCCCACAAGACCAAGAAGGAATCCTGACACTGCCACCAGGCAATAAATAAAGGCACTGTAAAGTTTTGTTACACAGCTCTAACAATGTGTACTCAAGAACACAGATGTTTCAGCAATTTGTCTCTGAAATAACTTCCCTTCAAAGTTTCTGTTGTCAAGCCATATTACAATGCATAGTAGATACAAACTCTGGGTAGAGCACAAAGGTTTTCAAGACTGCACTTACTGCTGCAAGTGAAAACAGAAAGTAGGTGACTAATTAAACATTTACTCTGATAGTCAATTTCTTCTGGCATTAAAGGAGAGAATATAGCTGGATCCTCATGGCTGGAAATAGTTACCATATCTTGGCACAGTCAGGCTTCAAACTTCCTCTTTAAAGCCTTCATTTTGATTTCTGACTACTCTGTATTTGCCCTCTTTAACAAGACGTCGTTTATGAGGACACATTAAAATTCTCTTGAGTACACATTAGTTAATGCCAAATGGTTTTGTCTTAAATAGTATATTCTTGTGAAGTTTAATGCGTCCCTACCCTCCTGTCATTACCCTAACTGCCCCAAAGCACCTCGGCCACATTGGCCCTCCCCTGACCCGGCCCTTTGAATCTCACTGGAGGAGAAAAAGTGCAATGACGGCTTTTCTGTTGCTATACATTATCATAGAACCATTAGGTTGGACCTCTAAGGTCATTGAGTCCAACCATAAACCTAATTAACCAAGTCCACCACTAATCCATATCTCTAAGCAACATCTCTATGCACCTGTTAAATGCCTCCAGAGATGGTGACTCCACCACTTCCCCAGGAAATCTGTTACAGGGCTTGACAACCCTTTCCATGAAGAACTTTTTCCTAATATCCAAACTAAACCTCCTCTGTCACAATTTTAGGCTGTTTCCTCTTGTCCTGTCACTTAATATTGGAAAGAACACACCAACCTCCATCTGGTACAACTTCCTTTCAGACAGCTGTAGAGAGTGATAAGGTCCCCCTCAAGCCCCTTTGCTCCAGGCTAAACAATCCCAGCTCCCTCAGCTGCTCCTCATAGGGATCATGCTCCAACTCTTTCACCAGCTTTGTTGCCCTATGTTAGACAAACTCCAGCACCTTAAGGTCATTCTTGTAGTGAGGGACCCAAAACTGAACACAGGATTCGAGGTGTAGCCTCAGCAGTGCTGCAGGGGAATGACCACTTTTCAAGTCCTGCTGGCCACTGTTTCTGTCTCTGCAGAGAGTGGAGGCTTCTTTTACTTGTTTTATAAATCTACAAAATAAAACTCACAGACACTCATAATACTATTTCCCTCCTGGTGTCTATGTAATTTTAATAATTAAGTTTGTTTCTTCTAGTTTTTAAGATGTTCAGTATCCACCACACTTCATGACATTTCTAGGGTAAGGACAAGTACAATTCTGGCATTTTAATCTGTGTGCATCAAATGCCTTGTGCGCCTGTAGTGTCAATGCAGAACTCCCAGATTTTCTCCTGGTTTTTAGGGACTGCCTTTGACTTGCTCTCCTGCTTGCTCCTCTCTGCTCCCCACAACTCACTTAATTAGCTAATAAAAATGGATGTCAAACCAAAAATTTCTACTATGAAAAATGTCTGCCTTAAGACATCTGAAATTTTTCCTATGTGCTTTTAATTTTTTTTAATAAGGCACAGTAATGCTCCACCATGCACAGTACTGCTCCTCTCTACACATGGAAAAAGACTAAAGAAGCACAAAACTTTCTCTTCCTTACTTCCATTTTCTTCTCAAACAGAAGGAAGTTGTATTTGCAGTATGAAAACAAACACAGAGAAATACAGAGAACAAATCTGAAAGACAATAATACTTAAACCAGGAGGAGTGGCTTCTGTCTCAATATACCACCTCTGTGATTCCCACAGTATCCAAATATACTGTGTTATCACAAGCAGTGCTCACAATATACTGCCTGAAATTTACTGTACTAGTTTTTCTCTTTAATCATTGATTCGGTAGAATCAGGTTCTCAAACTTAATGGATTATGCATCCAGGAACAAAATATGGATCATTCTGTATGATCAATTTTATTACAACAGCAAAACACACCATTTCTCTTTAAGCAAAACAGTAACAACAAAACCAAAATTAACCAAATTAAATATAAATTCAAATCTGATCAGATACATCTCTCTGTCCAACCCATTCCAACACTGATATAACATAGCCCTTTCTGTTGGCTACAAACTGAGTGCATAATTCAGCTTTTTCAAGCTTGCCCCAAAACCCTGTATTTTTTTCATAGATTCAACCAAATTATAAGCTCTAAGTCTACAAAAACTTGACAAAAGTAATAAAAATACATATTAACAATCCTCTCAGATATGCTTATATAATTGGCAGGGAAAAAATAAGTAAATAGACATAATTTTCATACCTGTGCTGAGACCACACTGATGCTGTCAAAACCAAGATTTCCATTGCTCTCTATGACAGCAGAATTTGCATAACATATGCCCCCATTGCTGGATGATGGTGGTTTGGGAGAGTTAGTCTTATCCTGAGAATGAATCTCTTCTCTATTTTCAAAGTAATCGTGGCCAGTCTAGGTGACAAATAAACAAGTAGGTAGCTAATTAAAATAAAAGCAAAATAGCAATGTAAGAAAATAAAGACAAAAAGGAAAAGGTGGGTGGGAGATCATATTCATGCTGCCTTGTTTTCAACACCAAGTGATTGCTGAAATGAGCAGGAGTGACCATTTAATTTTTTTAATTAACTCTAAATGTATGTAAGCTCCTAACTTACCTCTTACTTTAAGCTAATCAGAAAACATGGGAGACTTTTCATTTTTATACCTTTATGTAGAACCTCCTAAGCCAACCCGACCAAAAGTGATCAACATTTGCTGGTTATTCACGGTTGCTTGCCAAACAGAGCTCATTAGCCTTTGTCTACTTACATAATTAAAGAAAAACAAATTTATTTTTTCTATTTCTAACTATTGCAAACGATAGACAGTTGATCATCATAATTTTCAGTATCAGCAATACTCAAGTGAGCACACAGACAAGTACGCTGACACAGGGGTAGAAAGCAGAGCCCTGGGCAAAAGGAGGCAACTGCACTGCTCAATGAGCAGGTCTGCGTACCAGAGCTTGGGGAAACAGAGTTGGAGTTACTGAAAGACAGAGTCAGGCCCTATCCGTGCAGCTGCACTTTGCAGATGAGCAAGAAGGTGCATTTGTCACACTCATTTCTCCTGCCCAAATAGGAGCTCCATGGGCTCCACCTCTTACATATTTCCACTTTTTTCTGATGTGTTTAGCTACCACAGCAACAACTTGGCTGTGGAGAGAAACTGGAGTATGCATATATACTCTTTGGTATCAAAGACAGCAGATCACACTTACATCTAGATTCCATTCCCAAAGCTGCTTGTCTCTCCCTCAAAAAAATGAAGATTTCTTCCCCTATTCACATGGGTTTTAAACAGATGTATCAGAACACACAGGAAGGCTGAATTCCACATTTTATTCATCTAGCGAGTATCTCACAAAATATGACAGGTACTTTAAGGCAAGGCTCATTCAGTTAGTGATGGGTTTCATTACCTTGTTATAGAGCTTTAGTATCACTTTAAGAATCCTTTCCACAAAGAAGAGAATATAGAATCCACCAAACACAGCAACAGCTTTCTCAACATAGTTATCTACTTTCGGGTCAAACCCAAATGCCTAACAGTGAAGAAAAAAACAATGCAAATTAGTCTGTAATCTTAGTACATTTCCAGAAAAACAAACGTCACACTGCACAGATACCCCTCTATTACAAAACCTGTCGCTATACCAACCATCGTTTTCCATGAGCAGAAATTGAAAAAGATTCTGATCTCATTACATTTTTTACACTTGGACAAAATGTTAACAGCGTAGCCTATTAAAGTTCACTACAACTTTATCTAGTGTATTTCTCTTTTTGTTTAGAGACAGAATAGCCCTTGGTCCTTCCCAACAAGAAGGAACAATATGACATAGATCTTGAACAAGACATAGATCATGAACAACATGACATAGATCTTTAGAAAATAGTATGCAAACCAAATAATGATTCCCCTTGCTTACCTCTGGAATGAGCTGGAAAATTGCATTAGAAAAGAGAGTACCAATGGCCAAGCCCACAAAGTAAGTTAGAACCTTGGGGAAATATGACTTCTTTAAGAGAGGAGTTAAAATCAATCCCAGAAGTGATGCCAAGTTAATGATAGACACAGCCAGGAACCCAAATCCCCAAACTGTGGATAAACAAAGAGAAATACAAAATATTTTAGTATAACACCCACTTCAATCCGCCTGTGATTTCTCTAATTGCTAAACTGGCATGGAACTGGTAAAAGAGTCGTTCCTTGGTTGAAATTAAAACTCACAAATACAAAATTCTTAAAATGCATAGGCAGTTAAAATGCATACCTGCAGAAAGGAAATATCTGAAAACACTTTCTGGGACAACCATATTAAAAATGGAAACCATGCTAGTGGAATATACAGGCTGGCCTATCTGCTGCTAATATAAATAAGGTCTCTCTACAGTCAATGAGGAGTAAAAATTAAGGTTTAGGCCAAGAGCAGCCATAGCATAGAGAAAAGACAAAATTTCTTACTAGTCCCAGTGTCAGATCCAATTGACATTTACTTCTAAAAAACTCCATGACAAAAAGTCTTGGCTGTACCAGATATAAAAATCCTTCCTTATAAATCACCCTGAGGTGATATCTCAGCTTCTAACCCTCCTCCCTCCTCCTGTCATTTAAACAAATTCTGCTAGCTGAAAATGCTGCCCGTAAGTGTTCACCAACAGGTGAGATGATAGCTCATAGTTGAGACAATTATAATAGAGAAATTAAAGTGCATAAAAGAAGAGGTTCTAGGTTCAAAAACAAGGACATGTGATGTAGGTACACAATGACATAAACCTTTCATAAGAATCAGTAAATGCAGTGGGGTTCAGCATAATTTTGTTTCCTTCACCATAAGCATAATCTCAGATATTTAGTGTTCAGGCACCAGGACTCACACAAATCTGTACCATAATTATTCTAGAGCCTGAATTATAGATTGGAGGGATGTGGTTGCTGTTGCTTATAAGCACTTACAAAGCTGTGCTATGGATAACTTTTTTTTCCCCAGTGACACCTCAAATTCCTATTAGTACAGAGAAAAACTTTAAAAGTTGTACTAAAGAGGTCTACAAGTGTGCCCCAAATGATGCCACAGAACTATGAAGCAATCCAAACAGACAGTTTGTCTTTAAAAATTAACCAAAAAAAAATAATCAATGCCAACACAATGTTGCCTAGATGAGAACAGGTTCATGTAATCCAGCAAATTGCATCATTATGAGCTTGTATGCATGTAAGGAAGTCACCACAAATTCCTCTCTCCATAGCAGAAACTAACAGATCAGATTATGGTCTGATACTATTTCCTGGAACACAACTGACAAACACACTAAGCTAAATTCCTCACCTGCAACTGGGATGGCTCTACTCCGTACAGTGTCACAATATTTTTAGAAAATGAATTTCATATTATGTCAAGAACAGAAAGCATTAGAAGCATTCAAAGCATTTGCAGATGTACCAATGCCAATTACAACATTCATTTGCCAATTTTGAGACAGCTACACAGAGAGAGGGGAAAAACACACAACTAGATATGGGTAGATTCACTAAGCTACATAGATTAATTTATTAAATGAAATTAGAATTAAAATTGTAACTATATTTTTGAAATCAAATTTATAATAAATGAGTTTCCAGTGTCATCGTGAGTCAGAAAACACTGTCTACATTTGGGATTACTACAGAAGTACAAGTCTTTTAGTTTAGTGCATGGACATCTACCCATATTCTGTGAAAAAATGTACATTTTAAATTGAGTTGAAAAAATTCCAAGACAACCAATGTTGCCAAAGTTCCTGCACTAAGGACTCTATTTCACAATATCATGTGCCATAAAATGGTTTTATTCAGTAGGACTCCACCCACACTAGTCTTTTCATGAGTTCACACATCTCAGAAAGATGGGTAGTCTGACTTTATGTACCAGAGCAGGGCACTCAGATACAGTGCTAATTCGTCCCCTGAGACGGATGGCTCAGTCAATTTTTGCAAGCTACTATTACTCTTTCTGTCTCTAAACTGTAACCCCAATAAAGAGACAGCCAAGAAATCCAAAGGCACAAGAAATCCAAAACTGCAGGAGTGCAAGTAAGATGCCCTCCTTAGAACACTGCTGCCCAGCAGTGTTCCTTGTTAAGAATAGGCAGGCTCAGGCTCTTCCTTAACCTTGTCCTAGGATGAAGAGGAAGTGCATGAATACCTTTCTGAAGAAGTCAAGCAGAGAACACAGTAAGTGTTTTTCTTGGACATGAGTAATGCCACTGGGCAGTTTCAGCTGTTTGATATATCTCTATACACCTCCCTATTATCTTTCAGAGAAGCAAGCAAGGGGAGAATTTGAGTATGCCCTAAGATCAGATAGGTTAGCTCGGAGTTTTAAAAATCTCAGGACAAAAGACATTAACATACGTTGCCTTCCAACTTCTGCTCTGCTTTGGCATCACTTATTTTTTAAACTGAGTAGCTGTTCCTAAAGCTCATTAGACTGGTTTCTTCTGCGCATCTTGTCCATTAATCCATTTTGGAAGACAGCCTATTGTTAAGACAGTGAGGGCTCCTGGGGAAAAAATTCACATAGGCACAGCTGGAAACAGGCATGGAGGATTTTGCTCCATGGGCAGTAATTGAAATCATCTGGGCTCAATGCTACTGACACATTCACTTTGTGATGGGGGTGGGGGTGTATAAATCAACAGCTGTATTGGGCACTGGGCCTTTCTAGGAATCTTTGTTCAAACACTGTGTGTCGCAGTAGTTTAAAATGCCCTAATCATGGGCCTTGCAGATTTCTTGTGCTGCAGACAAGGAGGGGCAGGGAGAAGGCTGCCTTGTTTATCTGGCTATTGGACATTGCTTCTGAGCTGGCCTGATAAAAGAAAAACAAGGGGCATGGCCTAAGTAACTTAAGAGATTAACTGTAGGTCAAGGATTCCATGTTCAAAAAAAAAAAAAAAAAGATAATAGATCCTACTCTCCAATGCAGATCTTGCAGATCTTATGGTCTTCTTGGTAATATGTGTCTCCGTATCATACAAGCTATCTAGAGCAGTCATGCTAAATTGGTGCCATGGTTTCAGCGATTACTCACTTAGAATTCTAATCTTTCACTGACACAGCAAAGCACAGCTATGTTTTAGGAATGATCTCTAATTCTTATTAAAGATTATCACCTATATGAATCAGAACGTTATTAATACAGTATTTCAAAATTTACAAAAAGCACTTCTGTATCTCTTCTTATGAGCACTGACATTAGGCAGTAGTAATCCAACATCTTAACTTTTAACATTAATTCATCTGATTCCCTTGGAACAGTAAATTCATTTGGAATACTGACTCAAATTAATTACATTTGATCCTTTTTAGTGCAACAAGTGATTTCTTTAATCAGATAAATATTCCCTGTCCAGTGCTTTTCACTGCATTGTATAGTTCTGTGCACAAAAAAATATAGAAACAAGAGTGAGAAAAAGAGGAAGAAAGAAGATTAAGGCTACTTAACCATCTTCCTCCTGGAGGGGTCATCACAGAAAATGACATGAAAGCAGGAGTCAGAATTTGGAAAGAATATGAGTATTTTTCCTCAGTAAACCAGTCACTGGCTTACCTGACAGTCCACTTGCAAATAACTCCACTCAAATGTAGCCCAATTAATTTTAACTCTATCTATTTCCATACATGCAGATTCCACCAAGTTTTATTTCCCATTGCAAACTACTTGCACAGACTTCCCTTCTGTACACTCATCTTTTCTTCTATTAACCAGCTATGAGTCCTTATGTTTCAAGGCACAAACCATCATCCAAGCAAAACAAGTCAGAAAGGCTCTTCCTTAGTTGGGAAAAATATTCCATAACTTTCTAATCAGTTCTTTCACATTTCTTACAGCATTTTAAATAGATCACTGTCAAGCAATACCAATTTTGTTTGGATAGTCTGCTGACCTAAAACAGCAGTTTATGTTCCCACTTTGGAACCGTATCTTCCCAAACAAGACAATCCTGTTATCTATAGATAAATGCTTACTATTCCTCCAAGAAAACCCTACTCCAGCCACAGCATTAATGCAACTAATAGTAACTAACCTTGCAAAGAATGTGGTTTAGATGTGTCCACAAAGCTTTCCTGATGATCACACGGGTGAAAAATTAGCTGTTGCAAAACTGCAGGACATATTGTAGAAAAGCTGGAATTTGATATGTGACTGTTGTTCGGTATCCCATGCAAAGAAAAGATTTCTTCACTAGTCAAGCACTGAAACCAAAAGGGATTTTGACAACTTAAAACATCAATGTAAACAAAAAATAAGACATGCAGTGAGAAACCCAAGAATTACAATAGGGAAATACTGTAATGCATTTTCAGGAAAGTCTACACAATGTACACTGTGCATGAAAATACAGTGATTGCTTGATGTGAAACAGAAATTATTCAAAATACTTTAAGTTAGATAAATCACAAATCAATAAGCCACTTTTTAAAGAGACATTTGGAGATATTTTGCCCTGAGAACTTGGGACAGTTAAATCTCACAATATATTTGGAAAAACAGCTTCAAATTACTTAAAACCTAATGCAATTAAAAAATAATTAACTTTAAGAGCAGACTAGATACAGTTAAAATCTCAGTAACAGAGTATGCCAGAAAAGGACTGGTAATCCAGTGACAGTTTATTCATGCAAGTGACCACTTGTACTTTACAATAACACTTCTTATTTATCTCCCTAAATTAACTCCTAAAAAATGGTCTAAAGCCAAACATTTTTCATTCAAACCCAAACATTTTTCATTCGTCTTATAGCAGTAACTCTTAAGGGCAAACAAACATTGCCTTGTACAACCATAAGATAAACTCCTGCTTGGGATCTTCCCTTTGTCTTTAGCACAGGACATAAGAGTGTTTGATGGGTCAACAATAAATGTAGTCAGCAGTGCTAAAGCAGAACAGGGGCAAGGCAAGGCTGGTTCCTCCGTTTGTCATTTTCAACCAAAAAGATAAAGTACAAACCACAAAGTATCATAAAAGATACATTTACAGAAAAAATTTGAATGTTTTTATGTGAAATGTTCTAAACTGCTGAAAGCTTTCATCTAACACTTTCTGTTCATTTACATTCTTTATTTTGTATATAAGGGAAAGTGTCCTATATCAGGGAAAATGTTATTTTTCTGGGTGTACACAATAGTTTTGTGCAGTTATTGTTGCACAACAAACACATATTACGGTTCAGTCTCAAGACCAAAAAAACCCAAATGTTTTCTTCTATTTGAAACATCAATTTCAGCATAACTCTCCCTGTAGCAAATCTCAGTATGACTGCAAGCAGAGAGCACTGGAAGCCTTAGCAAAATAAACACAAATGGTCACTCCCTGCTCTTCTCAGTTTTGCCAGCCTTCAGATTACACAGCACATCTCCAATAATTCAACATTATTATTTATATGGCAATTAACTCCTAGAGATAAGCCAGAGTGATTGCAAATCATTTATTTCATCAGAGCTGCTTCCGCTCCTCTTAATAAGTATTTTTCTTACTGTCCAGAAGGTGAAAGGCGTGCACTCATCACCAGAATGTGACTCTCTTTGATTTGCTTGGAGGAAGAGAATATGCAGGCTAATTCAAGTGACTTTAGCTAAATTACATTCAGGATGTTTCTGTCTTTTCTCTTTAACAAGCCAGTCTAGCAGAGTACTCAGGCACATGCTTGAACTTAAACCTAAAAGCAAATTTTGTTAAGGCCATGAGACCCTAAAGGCTCATATATACAGAAGCAAAGTGCATGTAATTTCATCTTTCAACATCAATGCTAAGGCCAAAGAAGTATCATGCATAAAAGAATAGAGCTTATAACAGAAGATGGATTTTTGCTTTAAAACATGTTGCTCCATTTAACCTACATGAAAGGAGTGAATAAAGAAATCATCACTGAAGATACAGTCTTTAACAGGCCAATACACAAACCACTGGAGCTTTCTAAACTGGCTGTAAGTCTAATCATTTTACTGTTAACTCTGCATTTTGAAATAATACAAAATACATGGCTAATATGCCCACAGCAAAACAAAGGGAGGAAAGTTGTGGTCTACAGCAATAGTTCCCGTATGGTGCTTATTACCAGCTCATGGAGCCCTTTCTGGACATCTGTAGTTAGAAAAATGAGCCAGTAAGAGTTGAGAATTTACACCATAACTATCTCTGAAAGAAATCTTCCTTAACTATTTCATTTCTAAAATACAGAATAGAGTATTAGCATTTTAAAATACCAATACATTAGTATTAACATTCATTCACAAAAATACAAGTGATGTCGTAGGTAGGAAAACAGATAATGGAGAGAAACCAAATGAGACACAGCATAAATTAATACACCTGACAATCTTAACTTTGCCTACACACAAACATGGAAGTCATAAATGCCATCATAGAAGAGCTCTTTCATGTGAAATTGAGAAACAGCATTGTATTTAATTACTATTATTATTTTGATCAGGGACAAACCCAGAGGATAATGATTCTTATAAATGATTCATTGTTATAAGTCACCTCATACTCTCAGTAAACTCCTACATACATCCAAGAGCTAAAAAGCAAGCTTGCATGAGTTCACCAGCACAATTAAAAGATTAATTAAAAGATTTAATCTTTTCGAAGCCTTGGAATGGAGCAAGGCATGTTTTGCACACTGCAAAACTCTGCATTTATCTTTTCAGGATAAATAAATACATTAACACAACCATGCTGCTGTAAAAACATAAGATATTTACTTTGTAAGATTGAAGGACCATCTCATCAGAGAGAAAATTTAGCCTCATGAAACAGGGGACTGAAAATTATGTCCTGACTCACTAAGCCTGCTGTCATGTCTGTCCCCTCTATTTAACAAGGGTTTTTTTTTTTCCCCTGCCTTTTTTTTTTTTTTTTTTGGTTTTTTAACTTAGTCTGAGCACGGATAAGGCAAAATAGAGACATACAGCTGTGCCTTCCTCAGCTTACTTGCAAGAAATGAAAGTATCTAATGCTGATGTGGAAACACCTTGGTGTCACTTAGGACAGGTGAAAACTGGATGATGCAGATGATCATTCCTTCAGTAAGCAGCACTCCACGAGGAAGAGTCAGATGAAGCTGCCCAAATGAATGCACTTGTGTGCTTCAGGGATTTCACACACCCCACAACATGGGCAAGGCAGATGTCTGTGCTGGGAGCTGAGATACACCCACAAATACTGAAATTTATTGGAAATATTGTAGAAATAAGACACTTAGAGGGTACAACTACTATGCGTATTTAGCATCTCACTGGCCAGGCAACATCAGATCATGGTGTTGGATCAAGACCCTAACTCTGTCACTCTTGTCTCCATTCTTTCAAAAGGACAAGTTGTAACTAGTGAAAAACTACCCAAAAGTCCTCAAATCAAAGAATATACTAGCCTGGTCCTAAATTTTTAAACTTCCTAGATTTTGACTTATCCTGAGATGAAAGGTAATTATATCTGATAACAAATATTAATTTTAAAATTAATTTTGTCAAAATGTTTTGATTAAAAAATAAAATGCATTACTTCAAAACACAGTACTCAGGTATACCACCTAGACTGGCATAAATATACAAAGCCAAAGAAGGAAATAGAAGCATGATTTTAGCCCCTACCAATTACATCGAAGCATAAAAAAAAGGTGACATTAACAAGCTTTCTTTCCAATGCCCATTTACCTTCCAGGCATTTTTGGACCAAAAATTTTGAGCATGCCATTTAGTCCTTTGGTACACATGTACGGCTGCCATACTACAACTAATTCAGTGACAGAAGATCAAGTACGGTTTCATGGTTTTTACATCTTGCTAATAATGTAAAATACAGAGCAAGTAACAAGCCATCATGTCTATTAGACTGCAATTCTTAATTTTACCCCTATTAGTATAAAATGTGCAGCAATTCCACAGTAAAATGTAAAAAAACCAGCACTGCTCAGTATTTGTGCTTGCTCAATTACTACTTATTTCTCTGAAAAGGAGTCTTAGGTTACATATTAAGAAAAAATGATAACAGAAAAATTGAAGAGCAAAGACAAAAATAATTATAGAAGTACATGATGAAAGCAAAAAGAGACCAAAAGCGGAAGAAATTTGTGGCACTTAAATCCAAAATTCCAAAAGGGTGCTCATAAAAATCCAGGGGTTTTTCTCTACATTAAAAAATTAGCATCTTTACAGACATCATAGGACACAAGTTACCACAAACACCTACACAAGTATACACTCAAACACTATCACCAACAAATTAAATCATTTTTTACTCTTCCTTTGCTTTTCAAGTCAACCTGGTATCAAAGGAAAACAGAAATCAATCCATCTTCTTTTGGCTTACACCCAGATTTTCAATCTTTAAGAAAATGGATGAGCTTCTTGTGGATCTTCTTGTGACATTATTAGGCTTACCAAAATTGTTGTGAATGAGACATTAAAACTGAACACTAATACTGGGATAACATTACAGAGACTGTTCCTGACAGGTGGTGTATGACTTGCCCCTTACAGACCAGCTCTCCGCTAAAAATTCCCTCAGGCTTGAGATGAGAGCCTCTTTGAAGAGCAGGGGGATGTTATCTTGATTCAAAGAAAAGCCTGGGAGTCATTCCACTAGGTCGGGACAGAGAAGTTAAGAACTGAAAGTCTGAGATAAACCTTCTGCCCTCCTACAGTCAGGCACTTACGCAGCCTGAATATATTCAGATGCCTTGAGGAAGACCTGGATCACTCTCAAGAAGCATTCACTTTCCCCTGTCAAGAATCAGTAGAGCTTCTGATGCCTTCCAAAACCCACACTTTTATTAGGCCACTTCATGTGTGGCACTCTGTCATAACCAGCAGATGCTGAATTATCAACTTGTAAGCACAAAACCTCCCGGCATTTAAAAACAATCACACAGGATTTAAGTGGTGTGAGTGTGCATTTGCATGTGCCACCTGCCCAAAGTCATAAACATACTGACATCTATGAGGGATCAAAATGCACTTGCTTTAATGGTTCAAGCTGATGGAACAGCCATAAGGCAAATTTTAAGAAAGAATGCAAGTAACTCAGTAAAAAAGTAGTTTTCATTTAAAAAATAATTTCAGTGTGATAACCTAGATATTATTCAACATGAATATAATTAAAACAGGCCTGTAAAAAAATTTGCTTCAGTTAAACTTCAAGTTACTTACGAGGAACATGCATTCATAGTAATAAGAAAGAGCATTATTTTTTTTCCCCCTTCTGTAGCCTGTGTACGAGAGCTACGTGCTTTTGCAGACGGAAAACCTGAAGGACTGAAGAATCCACTCATTTCTATGCCCTTTTAAAGAAAGGTGCTTTTCACAGCCATAATCAACACTGTAAACTTGTAGTTAGCATGTGTGGCTGAGAATGTTTATGTTTATAGCATGCTGAGTTGGAACAGTGACCAGTTTGTGAGACTTGAAAGCAGCAACTCCTGAAAACACTGCTATGCTTATACTGAATACTACATTGATTTCAGGGCAATTAAGTCCCAATTAAACCTTTCTAAAACAAAGAGAGCTTATCAAGGTTTGTCTCCTTCACAGAAAAAGCAGAAGAGCTACTACTCCATGTTAAAAAGACAATTCTCAAGGTCCCTAGAGCCATCCCTCTTCTGTTTCTTAGGGAGTGGGATCAAACCAGAGAAAACAGTCATTCAGCTTTCATTTTTGTGACTAACTTTGTGCTTCTGATTTCTGAGCATATGGAAATCACCACCAATCTCAAAATTTCCCTTCAAGGAAACAAATTGAGTCCAGGACGGTTCAGGTAAGTGAAATTACACAGATTTTAAAAGTAGCAGAGCGATCTGAGGTTCTTATGGCAACATTAAACAGAGTACAAACGTTTTAAAGAGAAGTAATATTCTGGTGATGTCCAGTCAGTTAATTAAAATCAGTTTAAAAAGCTTTTGTAGATTAATCGATGGGAATACACTTTGCACTCAACCTAAATAAAAGACGTGAAAAGTTCTGAAAAAGTTTCTTTACACAACCAGATTTGTATAATCGAGTTTTTGCTGTCTCATGAGAACTACATTTCAACTAGTCCTGAAGATTTGCTTATTCAGCTCTCGGAGGGAAACACCAGCGGCTTCTCATACACTCCTTGCTGTTGCACAGATGCTATTTAACCGGGCAAAGAGAGAGTTTAAGAGCCGAGCAACGAGGCCGGAGAGCCAATCCCGGGGCAGCCCGCGCCGCAGCAGCTCCCTGAGGCGCGGCGCTTCTCCCGCTCTGGCGGGGCAGCGGCACCTCTGCCCGCAACCCCAGCCCGGAGCGCCAGCCGACATTCGCTCCCTCCCTCCCGCCCTCCTACCGGCTTCACCGTGAGGGAACACGAGGGCGACGAGACTTAAGACACTAGGGAGCTGCCCAGCCGGCCCGGCGCCCTCGCTGCGGGACGTCGGCAGCCCGGCCGTGGCCGCGGTGGCGGTGCCGATACCTGGTTGTGGTGCAGGTGGGCGAGCGGCAGCGCCGAGCCCAGGGCGGGCGCGGCGCCCAGGCGCTGCAGCAGCGCGGAGAGCTGCCCCGCCGACAGGCTGTGGTTGGCCCCGAAGACGCGCAGCACATCGTCGGCGAAGCTCGACGCGTTGGCCGCGCCCGGGAGCTGCCTCTCCATCCCGGCGGGACGCGGCGAGTGCGGCGGATGGCGCGGCCCCTGCCCACGGGCTCCGCGGGGCGGGAGCGGGGCCCGCCCGCTCGGCCCCTCCCCGGGGGGCGTAGTGGGGCCGCGGGGCGGGCGGCGGCTCCGCGGAGCTCCCGGCGGGGCGCGGAGCCGCCGCTCGGTGCCCGCCGCGCCGTCGGGCCGGGCCGCTTGCCGAGCGCCGGCCGAGCCCCGCCGTCCGGGCCGCGGGCTCCCCGCCACCCTGTGTCACCACAGAAGGCGGCGCGGGGCTGTCCGAGACCGCCCCACGCGCGGGCAACTGCGGAGGATGCAAAGCTCCCGGTTGCCACCAGCGCCGGGCCAGGGCCCGGGGGTCACACAGCCATCAGGAGCATTGCTCCCCATGCCGGTCCCAGGCATGGCCCCGGCTTGCCCGGCTGCCCCACACCCAGCTGCCCTGGCCCGCGGGGTGGCGGAAGGGATAACGGAGGCCAAGGTCCAGGCCCAGCCAGACACACAGGCAGGGCCCCCTCCGACACTATCTCCAGAGCCGAGGCTGCTGGACCTTGGAATGAGTCCTTGGGTTGTCAGCCAGATAGGCAACCTACTGCTCTCAGGCCCCCTCCCTAACACAGGCTGAGACCTAGATTTGTGTCTAGTCTACCTTTTCAGGCAGGGTTAATGCACAAAAAAGCATGTCATTTCATGCCTGCTTTTTAACAAACAGCAAAAATTGTGACTGGTCACAGGTGTATTCCTGGGGGCTATTGCTCAAGTGGTTTAGATAAAAAAGCTCATCCTGCAGGACAGCAGGCCCAGCTCAGCAAAGATCTGTACTCTCAAGTTATCCTGTAAGCCTTTTACAAAATTTCTTACATATCCATATAGTGGACAGAGATAGCATGTTTTTAAGGAGTTTGGGTTTTAGTGGTTTTTTTTTTTTTTTTTGGGGGGGGGGGGGTTTGGGTTTTTTTTTTTTTTTTTGGGTTTTTTTTTTTTTTTTTTTTTTTTTTTTTTTTTTTTTTTCAATTCTCATTTAGATCACTGCTGTAGAATTAAGTTGAATTACGTGAGCTGGGCCACAGTTCCTGATTCCAAATTTTCTAAAACCAGAATTTTGTACTGTCTGTGCCAAGTAGTCCGGGTAACAGCACTATGAAGGAGGCATGGTAAAAAAGATAATTCATAAGCAGCAGAACTGATTTAGATTAATCCTTCATAAAAAACTTCACAAAGCATCTAGCAGGAAAAAAGAAATGCCAGCAGCATAACCTACCACTGGGCAGCGGGGAAGAAAATCTAGAGAGCTACAATAATAATAATTCTAATACTGAAAAACCTGTCACTGTTTCTGATTTAAAGCCTGAATCACTCACTGACATACTTTTACACTTCCATCTTACTTGGTTGGTGGCAGCTAAAACGGCACGGGCACAACTCAGCTACGCATTGTTCCAAATGTCCCTATCTGTACTGGTTCTACCACCAGCCGAGGCTCAAGATGCTCCACCCTACCCACTTCTCTATCTACATGTGCATTTTGGCTCTCTTCCAGAGAAATCAACAAAACATTCTCTTGCTGCTAAGGGAAGTGCCACATTCATTGGGCTGCAGCTATGTTATTAGCAAAACTGGCAACTCCTATAGTTTCTTCTTCAAATTCTCTTTCTTCTTACAGCTCTAGTACTGTTGCATTCATTCTGAAATGTTTAAATTCTAGATTTCAAAAGTGCCTTATGACCAGCAGATAAATTTGAAGTAACTGCAACCTGCCTATAATAGGTAAATCAAAACAGGTTGCGTCATAATTTATCCGTGCTCTGTTGTTTGAAGCCAAAGAGTTTATCTCAAAATTGATTATTTTAAGACTTCCTTTTTTAGCAGAAATATAAAAGATCATTTAAATTAGTATAATTAAACTCATATTTGCATTCATTCTTAGGCCTATATTTTTATAATGCTGAAAAACTGAAGGAATTCTTGGGTAATTCCGTTACGATTTATTCTCTGTTGTCAATCCTTGGCAGAATGAAAATCCTGCTTTATTTCTGAGACACAGCCAAATTTTTTCCTCAAGGAGTGATGCATTCATACTGCTCTAGTTTAAAAGAAATACCAAGTTTCTAAACTGTCACTGAGAAAGCCTGCAAGAACTAGAAGGGCACACTAACAGTAAGACAAGAGGTCATTTACCTTTCAAACTGTATGCAGAGCACTTGAAGAATAACTCCAGCCTTTGTGTATATTTTTGTGATGTACAGACCTAATCAGAAGGTCCGATCTTTGTTATGTCAAGTCTGATAAATCTTAGGCAAACACTAACAGAGCCAAATTCTCCTTCTAAAACTGAAAGAACAATGTGTTTGTACAACTACAAACCAGGTATTGCCCAACAGTACTTCACGGTCCTGATTCACTATTGTTTCATTCCTGCTTTTCTTACACCTGTGGGATGTTGCTGTTACATTTAAACTACCACAAAGTGCCAGGGCAACAGATGGTGACTGGCAGTGGGTAAGATGACAAATGAATCAGCTTCCCCAGTCTTATACAGGGCCAAAACCTCTCTGAGGTGGGTTTTTTGTAAGAAATTCACTGAAGCTGTAGCTAATTACATCAAAGCTAGCATGGTTTGTAATCATACTTGTTATTTACTTACCATAAAATCAGAAGAACCCTGTTTATTGTCATTCAAGCTACTGAAACAAATGTATTTGAAAATATAAATAATATTTTTTACCTGCTGTCATTTGTCAGGTAAAATAGACACACCCATCCTGTGTACTAACATTTTCACCTTTTTTCATTCAACTCTTATGTGAATTAACTATTTAAATAGGATTAAAAACTTATATCCTGTAACTAAACACCCTTGAATGAAATGGCATATAGCAATGGCTATTTTGGGGGAAGTAGATAAGACTGAAACCCTTTTTCACATATTTTCTCTAAATAATTCTCTTTGCCAAGGTGAGTGAATTCCCAGAAGTTACATTTGTTCATTTTTAACTTGACCACAGAGACTCAAACTCTCATAGCCACTATACTTTCAGAGACTCACAGTCATGAATTACAGATGAACAGTATGCTCAGATAGATATTCCAATATTGCCAGCTAAGGAATCTTGCAGTTCTCCTCAGTTACATGCTCTTCTAAATACCAAAAGGGAATTCTGAGATTAGAGCTCTAGAAACACAGTTCAAGTGTACTGTGAACACTCAAAACCAACAAAACCAAACACAAAACACTATTTGGCTTAAAATTCTTAACATATAAAAGCCTGAGTCTCATTGATCTGCAGATTTTGACTAAATTTTGAAAGCTTGGGTACATGGAACTGGCACTAGAAAGGTGTTCTTATAGATCATAGTAGAAAAGTTTCTGAAGGTAGAGAATTAGAAGGGATCTTTACTTTGAGGCACAAAATACCTTGTACTGTACAACTTTCAAAGGAAAAAGTGAGATCTCAACTTTCACAAATTAGTTTGACTCTGTAATTCAAATCATTAATTAGTGAATTCAAGTACCTGGGGCACAAAATGGGCCTCAAACTACGAGAGGTATAATGGCATTGCTTTGGTAAATCATAACCTGCTTCTTTCCTTAGGCTGCACTATTGCTATTGTTTTTGTGCTGTTCACTACCATAAGAAGCTTGGCTCCCACAAGAGGTTAACATTATACAAGATTTCAACCAGCAAGAGGTATTACTTGTTCTACAACCTATACTAGCCAGTTCATCAGCTCTCTCTGTGAAACTAAAATTCACTGTTTCTGAAACATTATACATTTGCTCCTTAAGACTAATTATTGTTTTTTTAAAAAATCTTTAAAAACAAAACCTCTGTAATAAAATAACTATCTTAAATGCTTCAATGTTTACATTTTCACTTATAGAGATATTTAAGGATCTTCAACCACAAGGATAAGAATTGTCTTTAATGCAGATATGCAGATGAAATTATCTTCAGTTCATAGCTGCTCATTAGAAAACTAAGCATGTAAAACTCCACTGACACTTTAGAAATATTGTCTCACCTTGTTAGCAGAGGGTCAAGATTATGTAAGACCCTATTGCTACAGTCAAGGCTTAAACGTGTTTGGAGTCTGAAGTTTTAGCCTAGGGCCATCTCTAATTTTCAGCTGGTAAACAGGCATCTCACTCCCAAAAGCAGAAGCTGTCAGGCTACAGCTTTGGATGGTATGCAGTGAGATAGTGCCTGGAGAGCTGAGCCAGCCTATAGCAGCTGGGGGTCATAACTCAAAGCCCCCTAGATAGGTGTGCAGAGAGCTAGGAAGTAATAAACTGTCTTAAAAATATAGCAGTATTCACCATGAAGATAAACATTGCTCATTTTGCCTTGCATTACTCAAATAATCATTACCGAGGAGTCATCTTCTGGAAAAAAAAAATATAAGTCTTCTGCAATTTTTGGGGAAAAAAATAGCAAAAAGACACTATACATTTTTATCAGTTTAACTGCATCTTGTAAGAAAAGGGAAGTTCAACAGTGTGGAGTTGTTTTTCAAACCTTATTGAAAAGAATTTTTACATTTACAAATTCAAAGTAAAACCTTTCAGCCTAGTGTCCCTACGTCTTGCAAACACACTTTTAAATTTAAATTTTCTATTGTTCTAAAATTAGCTTTAACAACCTGAAAGTCTCAAAACCACTGATGAAACAATACATGTTTTGTAGGAACATGCCTAGTAGTGACCTCTTACCTGCTGATGACCTTTAAATCCACCAGAGGACCCCAGGGGATGGTCGGAACATGACTGAAAGTTACAAGCTCAGTTCTATTGACATATCTGCACTGAATTGTATGTATCTCAAGAACAAGGCTTACCCCAGAATAAAGAAGCGGCAGCCATTTGTCAATATTAGTGGGATGAGATAAGCACAGTGGTGGCAGCAGGATGCCTGAGACACAACATGCTGATGTTGCCTTTCACAGGCGTTCTCTTTTCCTGTGCTCCGCAGGGATCAAGATGACCCCTGTGAGACAGCAAACAAGC